TTTACTGGGTTAGTCTACACGTTGTTCAGGGTACCAGAGAATTAGTTTATTGCGCAAAGAAATGAGAAGTACAGATTGTTAGGTAAACATAAAGGTGGAACTTCAGACCAGAATACTCATTGATGTCTTCCAAAATCACGTCAAAAAAATCAAATTGGATTGGATTTATTCGGTGTAAACACCAAGGATAGCCCACGAAAGTCTAGAAGAAGACTTATTTCCAGTGGGGTCCTTCTGGTGGTGATTGGACAGTACACCGGGAGACAATCCCCTACTCTTTTCCGAAGAGTGTACTGCGTTCTTAAATGTGCACATGGGCCATAAATGCACACAGGACAAACAGCTTAAACATCTCATCCGAAAGACGGTGCGCTATTGTAACTTGTATTTCAGCCCTCTAGCTGCAACACAAGGAGAGGCAGCGATGGGAATTGAACTGGGGACCTAGAGATCTTCACGGTTCAGCGCACTCACAGTGGCTACCACCAGATTAGCCGACTGAGACAAGCTGCTCTCTCAAACACAAAACCAGAAGCATAATAGGCCTTTAAAGTATAGTTAGCAGCTACCATTCATTTTCTTATCAATTAACCTCCAAACAAGTATATAAACTAACTGCTGTTTGTGTCATTTTGTATGAATGGACTGCAGTTATACGGTACAGTACCTGTACTATATTAAATTCTGTAAATTTTAATAGGCCCAACTGAAAGTTAAGACATTACACTTTATTAATTGAAACTTGTACAATGTATTATCAGACATAAACATTTTATACCAATGCCCAACCATGCATGACTGATTTGACTACTGTACCATAATCAAACTTTGACCTTACTTCCTATTTTTCAAGTTTGTGAATATTTCAAAAGAATCACAAAATAATGTCAATAAACTGTAGACAGCCGAACTATGACAAACGTGTTTTAATATCTATAGTATTGCTAACAGCTCATGTTTCAAAGAAAAAAAGTTTGGTATTATGAGAGTAACACAAAAAAGGCTACTTTTCCAGAACAACCAGACATTCATGTACAGTAATGCTTTAAGTATATTTACTTACAATTAACCTATATACCCACAATCAAAGTAGACACAGTTGGTCCAACAGGGCAATTATTCACTGCTGATATTAATGTGCCATTATAGTTAATAAATGTAGCTCTAAACATAATTGTTCAGTACACAGTAAAGAATAAACAGGGTAGTGAACCACTCTATACGAAAAAAAAAAACAAAAAAAACAGTAGTCTAACTAACTAGCTCTATATTAGCTTAAAGCCTTACAGTAATTAGATAGACTGCCTTGTGGAGCACCTAATGCACTTGTAGATTGATAGGTTTAGTAGGCGATTACTGATAGATCTAATAATAGGTACATAGTAATTTCCTCATTAGCATAATTCAAAGGCGTAGCAACTCAAATTAGTAGACAATTCAATATGCACCTAAATTATAACTAAATTATTAACTATGCTATACCATGGCTATACCCACCATTGTTATGATAGTCTCAAGGGTAAACTTTGAGACTATCATACAGTAATGGTGGGTAAATAACATGACACTTCTACTTAAATGACAACTATTTACACAGTTATTATTTACTTCACGCTCCTTTTGCAAGACTAAGTAAAAGTCAATTTTTTTATTTCTGTATATGGACCGCAATTATGGAATGATATCTAATGTAATGTTTATAGATCGTAACAAAACCTATATTTTTAGAAAGCATAAAGAAGAATTATTATTTAGAAACACATACAATTCATAATTTCTTATATTTGTAAGTTTA